AATCCTACTTCCGTAGTGATACTGCCTCGGAAACCCAAGGAGGGGTCGCTATGAGTCAGGGCTGACTCGACGGCACATAACAACAACAACAACAACCCTCTGGTTAGTGAGTTATGTCCCTTCCCCTCCCACCCCAGGGAACCTTCAAAGAATGATTCTGTGTGTTAAGCCTTTTGCTTGATTTTTTACAGTAGTGGTCTCATACAATATCTGTCCTTTTGTGATTGACAGGAGCTGTGTCTTATTTCGCCTCTACTTCCCTAATTTTTGGCAACGTACCTAGCTTATAATAGGCCCCAAAAATAGTTTTGTGAATGAATGACATTTAACAAAGACAGATGCAGAAAAAGGAGTCCTGGTGGTGCAGTGCTTAAGCACACATCTGCTAACTGAAAGATCAGTGGTTCAAACCCATCAGCCGTGCCGTGGCAGTCTGCTCCCATAAAGAAACCCTTTGGGACACTGTCCTATAGGGTTGCTAAAGTTGGAATCAATTCAATGACAATAGCTCGTTTTTTTTTTTTGTTGGATGGAAAAATTGTTTGCTTAATGCGGATTGGAAAAGCCTTATTTTGGCAACTTTGTATTGCATTAACTAAAGAAACATTTCCTGAGTACTTTTTATATAAAAAGAGCTATCTATGCTACAGCTAGAATACCCAGAAATGTCCAAGAAAAGTGTCATAAGAGTATCACCAATGAATGGTTCTGTCATTTATTCATTCAACAAACATTTGTGGACACTTGAAAGATATCAATTAAATTCAAAAGGCTGAAGGAGGGGTCGCTATGAGTTGGAACTGACTCTATGGCAGTGAGTTTTGTTTTCTTTTTTTTTGGTAATGAAAGAGGGGAGTCCCTTAGGGGTGCAAACTGTGAAGTCCTTGACTACTAGCTAAAAGGTTGGGACATCAAAGCTACCCAGAGCCTCTCAGAAGACAGGCCTGGTGATCTGCCTCAAAACGTCACAGTCTTATTGGTCGGAAAGAGATTAGTGAAACCACTGAGACTATGGCTCCAAGTCACCCTTCAGGCCTGGAATTGGACTCGCTCCATGGCTCAACTCTCAGCAAAACAGCCGAACAACTACAGCAGGGAGCTGCATTCTTTCCAGCAGTCAGCCACGGAGATCAGAAGGACAGCACCGGCACAGGGAGAAAGCCAGGCAGCTGGGAACGTACAGGTGAGAAGGACACGGGAAGGACCGCACGGAGGAGGTGGCAGGGAAGCTGTTACACTGTGGGGCTTGTAAGCAGTGTCAGCAAACAAAATATGTATGAACTACTGAATGTGAAAGGAGCTCTGGTAGCATAGTGTCTCAGGCACCTGACTGCTGACCAGAAAGTTGGAAGTTCAAACCCACCAGCCACTCCTCAGAAGGAAGGTTGGGCAATGCACTTCCATAGTAATACTGCCTTGGAAACCCAAGGAGGGGTCGCTATGAGTCGGGTCCGACTCGACGGCACGTAACAACAACAACAACTGAATGTAAAACGAATCCGCTTTATAAAACGGCACCCAAATCACAATACAAAGTTAAACAAACGAACAAAAAAGGGTTGCAACCTTGGAAACGCTCTGGAGCAGTTCTACTGTGACACACGTGGGGTTGGCATGCGTCAGGATCAACACAACGGCAGCCAACAACAACAAGAAATGGAAGGAGCAGCATTTGAATAGAACTTCAGAGACAAGACCTCAACAGATGACCATGGAGGAGAGCATGCAGAGAAAGAAAATGCCAGGAGCTGGGGAGCCCCAAGGGGTGCGATGCGGCTGGAGGGTGGGTCACGCAGGAAGGAGAAGTGGAGAGGAGGCTGGAAAGGGGGATTATGATCACACTGGGGGATCCCGAAGGTGCGAGAGCAAATAGTTAGGTTACCATCTGCTAGGGAACCAGGCGTCATGGAAAATAGGAAGGGAGGAAGGGAGTGCCTTCAGAAATATTCATCCATTGCAGCCGTGGGATGACAGAAGACAGGAAAGGTGATTCAAGGCCCAAGCTGGAAGCCTTGCTCAATAGTCCAGGTGCGAGAAGATGCAGACTGGAGCCTGTGCAGGGGGAGGGGCAACAGGGAGAAGGGGATGAAGACAACAGAACTTGAGGAGGCTGTGGGACCTGGCGGGAGGAAGAAATTCACCCAGGTTCGGAAGCCAGGCTTGGGAAAAAGGTGGTACCTGCAAAGGATTCCTAGCAAGCCAGAAGAGATGCTGGCTTACAGGGGAGGAGGATACATTTGTTTTAGAACATGCTGAGCATAAAGTTTCAAGAAGAACAAGTCTATGAAAATCAAAACCACAAGGAGGTACTACTTCACCCCCCACGAAACCAAAAACCAAACCAAACTCACTGCCATTGAGTCAAGTCCGACTCCACTTGGAAACCCCACTGGGTTTCTGAGGCTGTAAATCTTTACGGTACTAGATTGCCCCATCTTCCTTCCATGGAGTGGCTGGTGGGTTTGAACCACCAGCTTTCTGGTTAGCAGCCAAATGCCTTATCCACTAGGTCACCGGAGCTCACCCCCCCACTCCCCCCCCAAAAAAAAACAACACCTCACTACTGTCAAGTCAACTCCGACTCAGCAACCCCTCCTTGG